AATGATGATGGCAAAAAATGAAAACAGGTAATGAAGTATAGTAAAAATCAATTAACAGCAACAACTATACACCCATTAATAATAATAAAGAAAAATGAGTTGAAATAACATCCTAAAATGCCATAGTGTTTGGGTTGGCAAAATTTCTCTCCAGGTCCCAGGATATTTTAGTTTATCATGTATGGGAAGTGGCAGTGAGTCACATCTAGGCCCTCTTTTGTTTTTCATGCAGGACACTGCTTACAACTTCCCACCAGGGAAAACCAGTCAATGGATGATGTCTGCTGCAGGGCTGTATTCACCCAGAAGTTTGTGTATAACCAAAACCAGTGCTCTCCCCAGCTGCATTTGTGGCATGTAGGCTGGTGAGGTATCCCACTCACTCCAGAAGTTCCTCTCCCATGCACCAAGTGGTAGCAAATATCCAAGGAGAAGCACATCAGAGAGTGGGGAGAGCAAACAGACCACTAAGTTCTATGTTGGACAAGGGGAGGTTCCAAGGAACCAAGCAATATGATATTGTAGAATGCACAGATCCTTATGTTTAAATACTTTGTGTGTGTCAGGACTACAGTTGAAATCTATTCTGGATACTGAATTTATTCTCTTTAACTAATTTTACTCGATAAAGTAATCCAAGATTTCTCATTGAAAATAAATAACAACCACAACATAAAAAACACTGCAAAGAATTAAAAGAATAAAAAATTAGCTATTATTCATTAGAGTCTGATAAACTAATAAATGCCAAAAATACTACACATTGATATCTACTCTAAATAATTTAAAGCTGTATTATACACTGTAGGGATAAAATTACATAGTACTATTTAGAAGTTTTTTGACAAGTCAGAAGGTAAGTCAGCATCTCCCAGAAGTTCAGATTCCCCTTTCTGCTTTATATATGTGTTCATTAATGGAGACAGACTCTTTAATTATTGAGAGGTCCACAAATAAGAGCACAACTTCTCATTTTACTTAATAATGAAAAATTCAAATGTTACCCCTTCCCTGAATTGCCTTTTCATATCACGCACTAAAAGATGATGAGAAAACATAGATTTTTTCCCCCCTTTGGTACAAATATCAATTAAGATACAATCCTCTTTTAAATTGAGAAATCCTAACACCGATTAACAGAAAACAAACAGCAGCATTAAAAATAAGGATGCCCTATAAAGTATTCCCATAATTTCCTATCCCATCCATGCCCAGCTGTGGACTTACAGTAGGGGTTGTATTATCCTTGCCATTATCCAATTGGCCCAAGTGACAAGAAATCAAAATGTCTTTTGCAGTCTTGGAGAGGATGGAGATTAGAGGTGGGAGGGGTTAAAATCACTGCTTTTTTTTTTCTGAAAAAAACTAGGGAATCCATTTAATGTTGCATGCATTATTCCAAAATGGTAATTACCCTGAAAATATATGATAAACACATGCTAATGAGATAAGCCAACAAGGGCAAAAAATCCACTTTAATAATGCAATCATAAGAGAAAGAGTTTTAAGTAGATATGGAAAAATTATCATAAATGTCAAGGCTCACAAAATATAATAAAAAGGATTGATGTGTTTTATACATGCTAAATCACTGATGGGGAATTATTATCTATACAAGACTCCCAGCTGACAGAAAAGCAGACCCACCACATAACAACAACTTTTATAAAATGATGCCATTTAATTTTATAATTTTTTTGTTTTTTACACTGAATTCATAAGTCAAAACTTTTCCTATATACTAAAAGAATTATCAAATCTTTTAAGGGAGACTGAAATAAACTTTTATTACTATTTGCATAAAAAATTAGATGTTCATTGTTTTTTAAAAGCATTGCATTAGTTAAGAAGCATGTTGACCGTTGAAAAGGGAATGAAGGAAGTGAGGAATATGCTTAGGTAAAAGCTCAAAAAAGGGCAGAATCCATCCTCTTGGCTTATCTACAAAGACCACCACAGACTCTGAGACATGAATAAGGCTGGTGAATTAAAATCTAAACCACTTTCCTTCCCTTCCCATTTCTAGGGCAACAGCAACCCATGGTGGTAATTTTTAGTCCAAGAAGTCTTGTCTAAGAAGGTTAAGTAAACTCGGCCAGAGAGCATTCAGACTATTGATGCAAGTGCTGCCTCTGGACCATATTTTTAAGGGTTAAAAAAAGGAAGAAGATTTTCTATAACCATTAAAAGTCATAAATCTTCAGACTAAAGGAAGCTACAGAATGCTAGCCAGATTCACAGAAGACCAATGTATGCATCTTGTTTCTAGCTTGAAAGCTACCAAGTATTTCAGAGTTTGAGAAGAATAAATACAAATTAAGTTATTAGAGGTCTGGCTATAAACATGAAATGTATAACTGGTTGATCTGGCTCTTGCAGCTTGGCTTAAGTTGTTGGTTCACTTTGTAAGTCAAAACCATAAAGCTACCCTTGCTTTAATTGATTTTCTCCAGTGTTGTACTATAATATTAGTGTATTGAATAAAAGTACCTGATAAAGTACTAACCAAATAATAAAAGCTTGACATATTTGATTGAAAAAGGCATTCTGACAGTATGCATCAAAAGTCTTAATATAAGGATTATAATCAGTCCAGAGCTCCAAGTACAGAAATTCCCTAAGGGCCGTATTATTAAAAACATGGTGTTTAGAGCACATAGGATCGAGGCCATGATAGATTCCAGCTGGTGTGAAAGGAAGTTTTCAAGCAAAGATTGCGAATTAGTTTCATAAATTATTGTCCTATTACAAAAGGTAATGCTTGAGAAATGAATTTGAAGAATGAATTTGAAATGTCATCAATTCAAAAATAAAAAATAGAAGATCCTAAAAATTTCCAAGGTAAGGCTTGGAGGAAGAGATTACACCCGACCAGAACAGAAATCAGGGTTACACTAGACTTACTTGGAATATTTTAATCAAAAAAGACAATGGAAAGTACTTTCAAAGACTGGGGAATATTAATTCGAGCTGGATTTCTACACTGTGAGCTACACTGTCAATCAAATGTGGGTGCAAATAAAAGCATTTTCAACCATATAAAGAATCAAAATTATTGCCAAAACTGTTTCTGAATTACTTAAGAACTTAGGAAGAAAGCAAAATCAATCAAAATCAAGGAAAAGAAGACTGTGAGATCCAGAAATGCTAGAACCAACATAAGTGCAGTGAATAATCAAAGTGGAATAAGTACAAAGAGCAATTGGCCAAAATTGGATCAAGAAACCAGTTAGCACACAAAAGAGGATTTCAAAAAGAAGCTATCAGCTAAATGAAATTCTACAGAGAGAATAACTAAAAGACTTGACGTAATTTGGTGGATAAGGCTTTCATTTTTCTTTCAGTGCAAAGAAATACAAGACAGAAATTCCAGGGAAATACTTGCAAGCATGCACATGTATACACAAAAACCTACATGACATGATCCGCAAGAACAGCACAAAAAATAACTCATTTGGACCTAAATGTTAGAAATGCTCTTATTCAAGTTTTGCAAAGTCATGATTTGCTATCACTCAGGGCACATATAATTTAAGCACAACCCTCAGCTTTGCCTAGGATAGTATTTATTAAGTAAGCCTTATTTATTATCAGTTCTTAGCTTCTATAAAACACATATATTTTAATTAAAGGAACAAAGCAGAATGTGAAAGTTATAAACCCCGCTACTATAGAAATGAAGATGTGCCTATTAACCGCAAGATATAGATATGGAATGAGTTACCAAAGGCAAAGGCAAGGGCAAAATTCTCAAACCTCTGAAATTTAGCAAGACAAGGAACAGTGCTTTGAAATATATCAGTTAAAGCTGCAATTGCCACATTAACTGAAAATTATAACAACTTAGAAAAAAGACTGGCAGTAGAATATAAAATTGATGAATTAAAATAGAGGGATGACTGTAAGACTAAAGTAGCCAACCAGGGGACTGCTGTTCTCATTTCCTAGCCGTTGCATCTGATACCTTTAGTGCACAGCCTAACATCTCCTTGACATCACCTTTGTTTCCAGCCCTGCTGATCATTTTGTGCAGGTTTTCAACTTATTTCACACTAGCGTCTCCTTACCTCAAGTACATGCCACTTCCAGTTACTGTGCTTTGATATTCCAGGACTTCTCTGATGCTGCCACAGCAGGCCAGAACATTCGGAGGTGATCCCTCACATCTATCTGCTGCCCGGAGAGAGTGAACATTGATGATCAAATGCTTCTAGGTTGATTTTGGTCAGATCATTCTGAAAGGCATCCTATACAGATTGCCAAGAGCCAACTCATTGTGCCCCTGTGATAACTCTTCTGTACTTTTTCATTCCTCCCGGTTCTTTCTTTCAAGTCTGTATGAATACTCCCTAATGAACTAAAAGTCCACAGGTCTTCATTTCAGAATCTGGTTGCAACGGGAATGCAAGCTAAGACAGAGCCTCTGCACCTTTTAGTTTTTGCTAAATACATGCGTTAATTTTATTTTCAAGTTCTTATAAATATTCACATTATTATAGGAAATGCATTCCTGTCATAATTATCACATGCCAAAATGTCTCAATTTCTACTCTCTAACTGACAACTGTTACTATGCACTGAGCACTCAATACACACTTAAAATTACTTCTCACGTCAAAGAGTGTGCTACATTCAGAACCAGAGCGGCAAATAGCAATGAATGTATAAAATTCTAGTCATTGGAGTATCAGACTGGGAAATACAAGGACAAGAAATACAACCAGGAACTGACAACATTCCCCCAATGACTGAGTCTGAATTCCCTTTTTTTTCTTTATTTTAATATATATAAAATAGTACAATAATAGTAGTTCTCAGAAAACTGCAGTGAGTTTTTAATGACTTTCAAGTACTTCTTGAGGGCTTCAGTGCTGAGACTTCACAATATATCATATTTTTAAAGTATTTGCAAATCTCAAACAACTCAAGTAAATAGGAAGCACCCAAGGCAAGGAGTCAGAAACATGAATCCTTAATCCTCCTCTGTCTTTTATTTTCAGTTACAATATTTAGGCAAAGAATGTAAGCCTTGAGGACACGGACAAGGGGAAAAAATGAGAACCAAGACCTGTCATGTAAAGGTACGAGATCCCAATAATGAATGTAATTATGCCGTATACCTAAAATGTACCAATAAACTCAATAAAATCCTTGAGCCTTGAGGACACGGACAAGGGGAAAAAATGAGAACCAAGACCTGTCATGTAAAGGTACGAGATCCCAATAATGAATGTAATTATGCCGTATACCTAAAATGTACCAATAAACTCAATAAAAGAAAGAAAAAAGAATGTGAGCTTTCCAAGCCTTGGTTCCCTCATATATTATGTAAAAATAGTTTTAAAAAAGAGAGGTTTTCCCTCTGGCAAACTTCAGGAGTTATTATTAACTGTTAACAAGCCAATGTTTCTGAAAGCTCTTAGGAGTCTATCAAGTGCCCTGTTGAATCAGGTCATTATCTATCCGTGGGAGGTGTTGGGTAGTAGTAACTGATCAAGAGAGGTCTGCATTAGGACCATGTTCTGACTGGACACTTTAGATGCTGGTCTCTATAAGTAATGCTCAGCTCCTCTAAGGCCATGCTTGTAAAGCAAATGCCTAGGGAAAGCCAGCAAATGCACATTGCTCACTTTCATATCATTTTTGTAAGAAACATGACTCAGTTACTAACATTGAGAGACCAAGAAGGTTAACCAAAGAAATGAATCTTCAGTTTCCCTGTGAAAATCTGACGTAGCCATTTGGCTCGTGTTCAGGAGGGGTCACCGCTCCCAGCACGATGGAACACGCACCCTGTGGGTGGCCACAGCTGCTCTACTCCCCTGCCACACCTCTGGCCCAGATTACTTCTTTACATGTCTCATCCACTGGATCTTTATAACAACTTGGCTGGAAGTAATTTTTCTAGTATGGGACAAAGATGTGTACACGTCCTCCCTAATAATGAAAAGAGAAACTTTAGAAGGTAGAAAATAAGGATGTAGATCTACGGAGGAGATGAGAAAGAAGATGTAAGAAATTTCTAAAACATGACTAGAGGTTAAAGCTGGAATCAAAAAAAAAAAGAATAGCAGAGAAAGTTCCCCCATGGATTTCCAGAGCAAGCATTATTAATGTTAATTGTCATATTCTTTTCTTGTTGTGCTGTGAAGTGATACAACTCTATGCAACATGTGGCCCCCACAGAATCCATAACTAGCCGTTCCTTGGTATAATTTTTTATTCTGACATTAAAAAGAACCCTTCAGTTTTTACTGGTACAAGGCAACCCAGAAGACGTCTATCCCAGTTTTACTGTGAGCTAAAAGTGACCATGAGACTGAGTTCCAAGCCGTGAGATGTGAGGGTGCATTAGTTTTTCATGACTATCATGAAATGTTTGATGGAGACTACCTGGGAAGTAAAGAGAAGTTGAAATTGGAGATTCAAGTCCAATATAAACCAGTCCCAATTGTTTGGGCCTCTGAAGAGGGCAGAACACCAGGGCAGGAGCATATGTCAGAACAAGTATTTATATTTGACTATCTGGAAGGAGAGGGAAAAATCAGGGTTCCACAGTCTCCCTCAAAGCCATACCCCAGTAAGCTAAAAGCCTCCCACCTATTTCCTTAACCTTGAGGATCAGGTTAAGGATACATTTGTATCTTTCAGGGACATGCATCCAAACTATAGCAGAGGGGGAGAAACAGGTGTAAATTTCGATAATAGTTTTAAAAGGAAGGAATTCACTGTGTTCCCTCACTCTTCCTCCATCCTGATATCTGAGACGTGAATATGATAACAAGTTGTGCTGGACCATATCAATAAGGCGAACACTGTAGATAGAAGAGTTTTAAAATAGACCCTAAGGGCCTAGATGACTCACCGAGGCAGATTCAACATGCAACTCTCCGGTAATGACTCTCCAGATTGTCATAAATCAAATTTTTTAATATTTAGGTCACTCAAAATGTGAGTCCCTCTTTTACGAAGCCAAACTTGTGCCCTATTATATCCTGAAGACCTTCAGTAAAGTCTGGCTGTACCCTAGGCTTGACTGAGTAACACATTTTGGAAAGGATTGAGGAGCTGCTCAGCAAGGACATAAGATGGAGAAAAAAGATCACCCTGCTCGGATGCAAACTGGACGGTGTGGATCTTGTTCAAGCAGAAGCAAGACTCACCGCTAGAGGTGACAGAAAAATATAAATCCCTTCATTCCAAACACCTAAAGAGAGACAATGACTTTCACCCACTTTCAGATGAGAATTAGTATCACATGTATTAAAGTTTTGAGCCAGGGATTTAGCTCAGTGGTGCCACCACCTTGCGTGCCTCAAAAGCACAAGGTTCGATCCCCATTACCAAAACAAAATTTTTTTTAAATTTCAATAACTGAGCATCCTAGAGGCTTGGGGAATATGACAGCAGTGCACACATATGTGCACACAGATTTCCACGTACAGGTACACAACATGTGTACCTATACACAAAACAACACCCATTCCTAAGAGCAAAATCACACTTCACACACAGAACTTCTTGCAGTGGAAGAATAGTCTCAGAAAACATTCTGACCACAAAATGACGTTACAGCTTCTCCATTTAGTAATACTGGTTTTTAAAAAATAAAAATAAAAAAAAACAAGCATTCTTTTGAGTTTGTTTTGAAATGTAATCTTTGTGACTGCAAAAGCAGAAAGGGTCATCAGACCTCTGGGCACAGAGAATACTACTTAATCTTTATTTTTCCTTTGAGGATAATATTCCAGTAGCTTTCAAGATAATATAGCTAAAAATAATAAATTTCTCATTAATTTGTTTCACAAGGACAATGGAAACGGCTACATTAAATTGTGCATTAAGTACATCATACTTTACCCACTTTGCTTTGTATTTATATTGCTTTTTAGGGCATTATCGCTTTAATTAGTAAATATTCCCTGTCAGGTTGATAGTAATTCTTATTATCCTACCATTATTATAGACAGTGGCAATTAAAATAAAGTAAACAGACGATGTCAATCCTAAATATTGCAGCATCAAAACCACAACAGCCCACTAATAGTAATCGGACAGGAAGTACTTCGAGTATGGCAGCATTCCGCTAAAATCTGAACGGGGTTTAGACTGTGGAATAACCCTAGGAGTAGGCACAACGATGGTGAGGACACGGTCCGGGCCTCCCTTGAACTCTGATAATTCACTTTGCATTTTTCACGACTCGCACATCAGTACTCACTGTCTCTTCCCTTGTGTCCCGTGTGCTTGTCTCCAGGAGAACGGCTCCACAGATGTATGCACACACCTCACTGGCACCTCTGACAGTGGAAGGAGTAATCAGCAGGAACCAGCTGTGCCTGAAATGTTCGAGGCTTGAAATTCTCACAAAGTAAAGCCAAGGGAACTTCAAATTTTCATTGCGATTTTCCTATCCATGGAAGAAAATGAGACAAATTCCTAGCCTTCTACACAATTTATGCAAGATTGGCAAGAGCTCATCTAAAGAAAAAACCCCGTGCCATTTTTTTCTGCCATTCAATGTTGTCTCTTTACACAAAGCTAGCTTATTTTAATTTATTTTCACATCCATTTTATAGAGATCTTAATCCAAGCATGATATTACACACCTTGGTGAAGAAAGCATTTAAAGGTTAAATATATTTGCACTGATGTAGTCACACAAACATTTTCAGTGATAACATTATACAGTCACACTGAATGAGAAAGGAATTCTAAAACACTTTGCAGAGTGGCAGAGTGTTTTTTAAAGGTGAAGTATTGGAGAATAGTGGCCACCAGAGAGAAGAAAGGTTATATCCAAATCTCCACTATTTTCTTCTATGATGTCATTTAATTTTTAACATTTTAAAATATGCTTTTGAGACTTTCACTGAGTCTATTTAATTTTTTAATTAATTCATATAGCCATTCAAAACAAGACAAAAAATTAGTATGACATTCTTTCTTACTCCCTAGTTGTTACGGTTTTAGATTTTGAAAAAGGCACCAACTAGACAACCTTACTAATGAACACACTTGGATTTAGTAGCACTTCAATATGTAGAGTTTACCCTCCCTGAAATGAGCTAATAAGCAATTAAATAACATTCATAGAAATGGCAGAAATGGTCACTTGGGGAGGATATTGACAATGGGTAATCAAGCCTTAGTCCTGAGCTGAGGATGCTGTTTCTGATTCAAGGGAAGAGAGTCCCGGCAACTTGTTGTTAAAACAAATATTAACTCCCCATCATTTGCAGAGTGAGCTTGCCCTTCCATGTTTAAGTAATCTGCTCTTTCCCTGTTGCTAAAATTAAAAATAATCCACACAAGTATAGTCACACCTCCTCGTTATACCCTTCTCCATTACTCATTTCTGAAATGTCATTGTGGTATTTTCCTTGACGCTAATGCTGACTTAAATGGGAACATTTAAAATAATTATTATCACATTCAATGTCCCTCAGTCCAGAAAAGTGCAAAAGGGAAATGTTGTAGGAAAATTCAGCTTATAGTCTCCTTGATAGTCATATCTTTTCTTAATTTTCCTTTAGGTTATAAAAACTTTGGGAACAGAAGCAATGTCTTTTCCATTGATGTGAAGTCCCCAGAGTAATAGCATGATACCCCTGCTCAGGAGATACAGGCTTTTAGTGTAGGGATTTTTTTACCAGAACCTTAAAAACATGTTCCTTCACTATGAGCATTCTGCTCCTGAAACCTGAAAGAGGAACATAACTTTCATACTTCTTTTAAATTCATTTTAAAAGAAAATTTAGGCTAACCAAAGAAAAAGCAATAAGCATAATATTATATAGAAAAAAAATCCAGGTTCTTTCCTTTGTCATTAACAACAGAATTTTAGGGTTGTTGTTTTTTTTTTTTTTCATTTTTTGAAAAACAAGAAAGAAAAAAATGGGGGAAAAAAGAAGATTTTATCAAAATTTACATATTATGTTTATGTGATAAAAGTCTATAGATCTAAGAGGAATACTCTTTATAATTGCTAACATAACTTATTCAAGTATATGAAATGTGAGTTGAGGCTACTGAATTCATTCTGTTCCTAGGGGTCTGTATATATTTATAAGGGATTAAAATATGTTCAAATAGAACAAGCTGAATAAATATTAATATTTTAAGAAAAAGGCACACTTGAGGTATATATTAAAATATATGAATTATAAATTTAACCGATTTTTAAATTTTTTTCCTCATTGAGTTTATTGGTACTTTTTAGGTATACAGTACAGCTACATTCATCATTGGGATCTTGTACCTCTACATGACAGGTCTTGGTTCTCATTTTTTCCCCTTGTCTCTGCCCTCCCTTCACCCTCTCCACCCTTCCCTATTTACAAAAACTTTGTTTCCATTTTTTCCTTTTCTCATATTTTTTCTTTTCCCTTATTTCCTTTCCCCTACCCTTCCTACTTCCCCTACACCTTTAGCCCTTTTCTTCCTATTTCACATTGTCAGTTATACCATTTGGTTCTTATTTACACTAGTTTTTTACACCAGAGAAACTATTCAGTATTTACACATGTGTGTCTTAATTCATTTCACTTGAGTATGGCCTCAATATGCATCCATTTTGCTACGAATGACTCTAGTTACATGCTTTATGGCTGAGTAGTACTCCATTTTATAGAAAAACCACATCTTCTTTATCCAGTCTCCAACTGATGGATAATGGGGCTGTTTCCAAGTTTTAGCTATTACAAACTGTGCCACTATAAACATGGGTGCTCATATATCACTGTGGTACGATTCTTTTACTTCTTTTGGAAAGATACCCAGCAGAGGGATGGCTGGGTCAAATGGAACCTCTCATCCTAGTTCTCTGAGGTATCTCCATATTGATTTTCCCGGTGGTTGCACCAGTCTGCACTCCCACCAACAATGGAGAAAGGTTTCTTTTCGATTTTTAAATATAATTGCATTGGTACATTTAATGTATACAATATAATGACATTCATTATTGGAAATTTGTACCTTTACATAATAAATCTTGGTTCTTATTTTTCCCCATCCCTGCCTTCCCTTCAAACCCTCCCTTCCTTCCTATTGACAAAGACATTGTTTCCATTATTTTTCATTTTCTCATATTAATTCCATTCCTTTCCCCTACCCCTCACATTTCCCCTTCCTCCTTGTCCCTTTTCTATTTCACATCATCTGTTACAGCTTTAACTGATTATTTTGAGATCATCTCATGAAAATATCATAGCCTTTTGTCAAAACATACCTATTTTATTTTGTAAACAAAGTTTATTGGAATTACTATTGTAACTTGAGTAATAAAAAGCCCAATATATTTTCCTGTGGTATATTACAGGCTACTTTTCTCATTTGAAACCTGAAAATAATAAGGAAGAAAAGAATTTTGGTACAAACCCTAAAATAATTGCTAATTTTGGTATTTCAATTACTCAGATTTTTATTTGATGAAATTGGTAGGGTATTGTCTTAATCTATTTTTTGTTGTTATTTCAAAACATCACAGACTATGAGTAATTTATAAAGAATAAAGTTTTCCTTGGCTCATTGACTTAGAAGCTGGGCAGCCCAAAAGTAAGATGTCAGTACCTGTGCTGCATTTGGTGAGACTTACAGTGCCTTGTGCTGTGGTGGATGGCATCACTCAGCAAGACAGAGCAAGCATACTACCTCAGGTCTCTCTTCCTCTTCCTAAACCCATGAATGCTCCCTTAGTGGTCTACTCTCATAGCCTCGCCTAACCCTAATTACATCCCAATGGCTCTGATTCTAAGAGCCATTAAAATATTAATTTGGAGATTAAGTTTCCAATGCATCACTTTTGAGGGGATATATTCAAACTACAGCCAGTATGATAATCCCAAGAATAAACTTTCATTTCTAAATTATTTGATGTGTGAATGTGCAGCAAATTAAAGTTTGTCAAATATAAAAAGCAAGTTATTAGAAAGATTTTGAATGACAAAAAGAATGCTGGATGCAAATAAGGTAACTAAAGATACCTGGCACAGGAGATGGGGTAAAGAACTGAGAAACCAAGAAAGTCAGCCCAATGGCACAATGAAAACACCCCCCTCCTTTCCCTTAACATGAACAGACTGAAAGAAAAGCAGCAGCCATTTATTTTGGAGTGTTTAAAGCTAAGCCCCACAGTGCAGTGGAGATGTGGGAAAGATGTCTTAGAGTAGAGAGATTCACATTGGCTTAGAAAGAAAGAAACTAAGCAAACAGTACCTACTATCCCATTCATCAAGACCAACCCCAAGGTGAGATGGCTTGGCTTAGCAGAGAAAGGGTAAACAGGAGTTTGAGGAGCTTTCGGGTTAGCACACCACTGCATTGTCCTGGAGAAAGGTCCAGCCTGAGTGGTGACCTCTCCCTCTCAAGCTCATATGGAGCCACCTAGAGATGCATTCACTCAGGAATCTGTGGAGACACCCAGCAGCTGCCCTACTGCTGGGTGACCCCGCTCTGCCAACCAGCAAGGTGGCAGCACACACCCACACACTACTCAGGAAGCAGCCTAGATCCTTTAAGTGGCCTAGCCTGATGAGTCCTGGACAGATGATCCCACACACTATGTGCTCTGAGAATCACATCGGCCCATGGTGGGGAACCCATGGCCCGAGTACAGCCGCAGACACACAAAATCCTCTGTGTCACATGAGCCAAGTGACCCCAGCCAAGCTTGACACATTATCAGCATACCTACAATAAAGATCACATTAACTGTGCAAAAGCACGCCAAGTGCAAACTTTTACCTTCCAATAAAAAGCTGTTTGTGTCATTGAAAGCACTGTTTCTGTGTTTTTCTTTTAGAACAAAAGATGTTAATGTAAGAGTTGTTTTTTTTCTAAGCTAAAACCTCAGTGTTCAGGTTTAATGGTAGTGTGGGCACTTTGCGATAAAAGAGCAGGTTTTGGGTTACAGTTTGGGCACCTCATCGCTAATTGTTCACCATCAGTGACCCAGATTATTTTAGGCAAGTTAACAACCAGAGGACCCACAAAACCAGCCAAGCAACCTACAGCCACTGACAGGTGGCCCAACCCCTACGTGGCCATAAGACACTTATAGGACCTCATTCCCAAGTATGCTATACAGTGCCCACCTGGGCTCCTCAGAGTACTTCCACATGCATGTGGCTCTCAAAAACAAGAGTTGCAGTCCACTGACAACAGGTGAAAAGAAAACAAAAGAACAAAGAAAGCCTATGAGACTTATGGCATACCATACACAGGCAAACTTTCACATTATAGGGACTCCAGGAGAAAAGAAAGGAAAGGGAAACAGCATAGAATATTTACTCAATGAAGCACAGTAATAGCTAAAAACATTACAAATCCCCATGATGAATGTAGTCATCTCTCATTTGAGTTGGGCAAGGCACAAACAAAGTACAACATAAAAGCTGAATAGAGGGAAACAAAGGGATAGATTTGCAAATGTGAAGGAGTCCAGGAGACCAAGGGCAAGAGGAATGGGAATGCCATGGACAGGTACCAAATGCCCAAGGTAAGTATAAACATTACAAAACATGAGGCCAATGCCTTTGGCCCAGCATGGCAGAGGAGCCCAGAAGCAGCTTATGACTCTCTGATGGGTCCACCTCCTCGGTGCTGAACAACAGAGGAGCAAGGAAGCAGCAGGAGACCCTCTGGTAGGCCCACCACTTTGTTCCAGTGCAGCAGAGGAGCCGAGCCACATGGATGTCAACACAGCAGGGTCTATGCCCACCCCCATACCCATGCAAACAGGAGAAACAGGGTCTCTCTGAGGCTCTTAGGTGAAAATTGAAGGCCACTGAA